GGAGGAGGAGGAGGAGGAGGACGTGGAGGAGGACGTGTGGAGGAGGAGGAGGAGGAGGATGGAGGAGGAGGAGGAGGAGGAGGAGGAGGAGGAGGAGGAGGAGGAGGAGGAGGATGGGGATGGGGGATCTTGATGATGCAGATGGGCACTGGTTCTCTGGGCGGGGGAATCTGTCTGATATGATAGCGGCGCGGTCTAAACTGCGGCGCGAGCACCTGGGCCACTTGGGAGCCCGTGCGAGGTGAAAGCTTTCTCATAACTACCATCCCAATTCTGCACACTTGAAATGCGGAATCTGGATTGAGCGGGGCATTCTATATGGGAAGTGCAATGCGCCGCGAGAAACTTGACCAACAACGGCTTCGGTATAACGCGAGACATCGTGAACCCCGCGCACGCACAAACACTACTGGGCCCTATTTCCTCCAGTGGGAAATCTGTCTGATGGTATAGCGCAACTCTCTAAATTGCAACATGAGCACCTGGGCCACTTTGGAGCCCAGCAAGGGTGAACACTTTCACAGACCATCCAATAGTAACGAGCGGCGCGGTGCATCCTAGATCGCGAAGGTGGTTCCGGGAAAGCTGTCTCCGTGCACGAGCCGTTTCAATCAGAATTCGAGCAAAGAGCTGCAATGATTCAGGGTGCACGGCTGGGCGATAGCAGCCCACATTTGGCCGCCAGGCCACCCCCCCCGTCAAATTGAAATGAAGCTGACTCCGAGAACAAAGGCCATGGCGGCCATGGCATCGCATGGCCGCCAGATCTTTCAATTCTCGCGTGCACACAACCCCAGACAGCAAAAACGAGTCCTCTCTCTCTCAAGCGGGCCCCCATCATGCAGCAACCACAAACTACCTCGCTGACGCGAGGGCGCTGCATCACGGTCTGTAGGAGAACGGACAATGACCTAAGCATAAAAACTCGGAGGTCTGCGCGGATATCTTGGATCCGCGCTTGACCCCCCTGGCGGCGTCTCTGGCGCCGCCCCTGGCGCGCTCCGCGGGCCAGGGAGGGGGGTCCAGCGCGACCCGAGAACTCCACGCGGACCTCCGAGCCTTTATGTCTATGTCATTCTTCGCTCCCCTGGCAACCACAAACGATCTCGCTGACGCGAGGGCGCTGCATCACTGTCCAAGAGAGCCCAGAATCGAATCGACAAGTCGGATCGGCGATCGGAATGAACCGGATCGGCGGAAATCGGCAGCCAAGTCGGGAGGAGTCGGACCAGCAGAAATCGGCAGGCTAGTGGGCCGCCATTTGAGGACTCGGACTCCGCATCGGAACCCGAAGTCCAATCGAACCGAAATTGGAGGCGATCGAACGCAGATCGAAGCGGAATCGGAGGGTCGAAACGAGCCCTGACGGTCTGGGCCTGTGGGGTGAGCCACACCGTGCGGGTCGGGGGGTGCTCCCAAGGAGCGTCCGCTGCTCGGCGGGTCGGCGGCGCAGCCCCGCGCGGCGGGCGGGGCGCGGGCGCCCGCGCCGCGTCGCGCGCAGCGGGGGGGGCCTGCAGGGCGGGGAGGTCCGGGGCGGGGTGCCTGGCGGGGCGTGCGCTGCGCCAGGGCTCCTCCTCCTCCGCTCGCCGGGCCTGCCTCCTCCTCCTCCTCCTCCTCCTCCTCCTCCTCCTCCTCCTCCACACGTCCTCCTCCACGTCCTCCTCCTCCTCCTCCTCCTCGTCCTCCTGCTCGCTTCTCCTCGCTCCTCCTCCTCGTCCTCTCCTCCTCCTCCTCGCTCCTCCTCCTCCTCTCCTCTTCCTCCTCCTCGCTCCTCGCTCCTCGCTCCTCGCTCCTCCTCCTCCTCCTCCTCCTCCTCCTGCTCCTCCACCTCCTCCTCTTCTTCCTCCTCCTCTCGTGTATAACCTCTGAAACAAGTCTAGGAACACCCCAGGAAGGTGTATATAATTATTGGTTCGGCGGCTTTATTCACGGCCTGATGTCCCACCAATAGGGGGCACAATGTTTTTCCCCGCGGCACTCGCTGCGCAACAACGACGCTGACAGCTACGACTACGATTGCGTCAACGCCGGCTATTAGTCATTATGCCGCAGGAGCGCTGTCATGGAATATCTTGGGTCAGAACCTTGATCCTCGGAGATGTGATCATGAAAAGGTCCATCCTGAGAAGGATAGTTAAAGCTCCATCCCTAAAAAGAATGTGAGCAATGCCTTCGACGAAACATGTGTCGATCTGCATTGCACTCCTCTTACAAGCGTGCTCAAAATTCCGCTGTCGCGCAGGGTAGCCCAGGGGGCATACATCCCTGGGAGAAAGAACCCAGAAACATGATCCAATCAGCCCAACAATATAGAGGGAAGCAAATCTCCGCCGCGACGAGGAGGTTTTAGGACCAGTCCCATTCACCTCCGAGAGAAGAAGGGGGGAGGGGCTTCAAAACGAAGACCTCCTGAGGTTAACCCCTGGCTCCTGGCGCGCACTGCGCCAGGAGCCACGGGTTATAGTCCAGCGCGTTCCACTGCTCGCGGAGTAACTCCTCGCAAACGGCCTGGGCCCGCCGAGAGGGGATCTACGACCCCCTACGTCGAGGCAGACCCGTGTTTCTCTCTGGACGTTTTCGAGTCGTGGAACGCATTCGGTGGGGCTACCAGCCTGAAACATGCCCCTATCCCTACGACTGGCATCGCCGCATCTACATGCTGGTCTCGGCTTGTCAACCTTAGGGGTAGGGACAACCGAGAGGTTGGTTGAGGGGAGCACGATCCCCCTGCCTTGCTGGGGGGAGCTCAGATCAGCGCTGGACCTGGCAACGCGGCTCGACGCTCATACGATGGGGCGCCGCCGGGCCTGCCGGGCCGACTGGATCAGAACCTGGCTTGGCCATGGCTTAGCCCATGGCCCGAAGGGGCGCTCAGCAGGGGGCCAAACGGCAGGGGGATGCGGCATGAGAGCACGAAGGGGACAACGACGACGACGACGACGACGACGACGACGACAACGACGACGACGACGACGACGCGCCAGGAGCAAGGGGGGCACGAGAGCAGGAGTGGGGCGACGACAACGATAATGACGACGACGCCGACGACGACGACGCGTGCCGCGGCGGCGGCGCCGGAGGCACGCCGGGCCCTGCAGGCGGGCAGCGGCCGCGCGGGGCGGCGGGCTGGCACAGAGCTCGGGGCGCGGCCGCTGCGGGGCCGGGGCGCGGTTGGCGTGCCGCGCCGGTGCGCGGCACGCCAACCGCGTCCCGGCGCTCTGGGAGGAGATGCCGGCATCGGAATGCCAGACATGGCGTCGTTAGTCCTTTGTGAAAGGTACTGGCGCGACCTCGACCCTTTCGGGGCGCGTTTCCGCGGGCGGGCCACAGCGGAACGCAGACGGCGCGACACGCCGGGCCAGAGCTCTCCAGGCCGTGAGCCCCTGCGGCTGCGCGCCTCCGTCGGGGGCGCCGAGGCGACGGACGGGGAGCTGAGCAGGCACGCCTCCCCACCTTGACCATGCCACGGGTGCCCCTCCCGCTGCAGGAGCAGGCCCAGGCGGTCCCGCCCGCACTGGGCACCTCGCACCTGGGGCAGGCGGGGAGGGAGGGGGAAGGGACGAGGAGGGGAGGGGGTCACAATTTTTTTATCCGCGGGTCGAGAGCGCACCTCTTCCGGTCGAAGCTAAGCGGGTCGCGCGAAGCTTGAATTAATCAGAGATGGATGAGGAAAAGAGGGAGGGGGATACAGAAGAGGGCGCAGGCAGAGGGCTCGAAGCTACGTGGCTCGGGGGGCTCGGAGCCCCAGGCGCAGGACAACGGTACCCGCGAGAGATAATCAGGAACGAGGAAGGAGCTACAGAGGCAGCGCCTGCTCACAGACACAGCTCTAGAAGCGAGAGATAATCAGAAGGAGGAGGAGGAGGAGGAGGAGGAGGAGGAGGAGGAGGAGGAGGTCGACCACGACATGGGAGCAAGAGGGGGGAAGATAGGGATCGGCCCACACCTGCCCGGAGGATGAGGCGGAGCAGGGGCCCACTGGCACCCGAGCCCCTTTCGAAACCGAAGTGGCTCTCGTTCCAAGGCTCCACACCCTCACCATCATATGACGCACCCCCTTCCGCCTCCACGTCCCCGCCCCGTCCTCGAACCCCTTTCGAAACCAACGTGGCTCTCGTTCCAACGCTCCATCGCTCCCTCTCGTGTGATGCCCCCCCCCTCCGCCGCCCCGTCCCCGCCCCTTCCACGAACCCCTTTCAGAACCAGGGTGGCTCTTGTTCCGAGGCTCCATCGCCCCCACCCCCCCTCCCTCATATCACGTCCCCCCTCCCCCGCCCTGTCCCCCGCCCGTCCCCCAACCCCCCTCGAAGACGAAGTGGCTCTTGTTCCGATGCTCTACTTCCTCCCCCCTCATCTCTGTCGCCCTCCGCCGCCCCCTCGTGCTTCTACTCCTCCTCAGCGCCCCCCTCCTCACACCTCCTCCTGCTTCTCGAAATCCTCCTCCTGCTCTGGGTTCCTGGTGGCTAGACGGGCGTTTAGACCGCTCCTCCTGCTCCTCCTTCTCCTCCTCCTCCTCCTCCTCCTGGTCTTACCTCCTCCTCCTCCTCCTCCTCCTTTTCCTGCTCTCCTCCTCCTCCTCCTCCTCCTCTCCCTCATCTCCTGCCTCCTCCTCCTCCTCCCTCCTCCCCTCCCCTCCCCCCCCCGTCCTCCCCCCCTGCTCCTCCTCCTCCTCTCCCCGCTCTCCTCACGCCTCCTCCCTCTCCCCGTTCCCCCCTCCTCCTCTCGTCTTCTCCTCCTCCCCACCTCTCCCCCTCCTCGTCTCGTCCTCCTCCTCTTCCTCCCTCCTTCTTCTCCTTCCTCCTCCTCCCTCCCCTCCTCCCCTCCTCCTCTCCTCCTCCTCCTCCTCTCTCTCTCCTCTCCTCCTCGGCTCCTCCTCCTCCTCCTCCTCCCTCCTCCTCCTCCTCCGCCTCCTCCTCCCTCCTATTCCTTATCGCTCGCCCCCCTCGCGCCTCCTCCCTCTGCGCAGGCATAAACGTCGCAGACGCCCCGTTTTCGCCGCGCTAGCGCCACTCGACGTCGTGGCGCGTCAGAAGGCACTCCTGCGGGCAACCGTCGCCGCCCCGCGCGTAGCTCCACCCGGGGGTGGACTTCGCCACGCGGGCCTGTGGGAACGGCAAACAGCGCAGACGAAAACTTTGGAAGGTCCGCGTTGATCATGGTAGTGCTGGTGACGATGATGATGGTTTTGGTGCTGACTTTGGGATGACAGTGATTGTGATGATAATGGTGGTGGGCAGGATGGATCATGGTGGTAATGCTGATGCTGATGATGGTGATGCTGATGATGATGAGGATGGTGATGGTGCTGCTGCTGCTGCTGCTGCTGCTGCTGCTGCTGCTGCTGCTGATGATGATGATGATGATGATGATGATGATGATGATGATGATGATGATGATGCTGCTCGCGCGTATTCCTCGGACAGCTCGTCGGCAGCTGAACTAAGCTCGCCGACGTGGCACGTGGGGCACACGGAGAAGTGTGGTCATTAGCTGCAGCAGCAACGGCAAACGCGGGAACCGACGATTGGATGGGCTCAACCGCTGGCGCCGGGAGGGCGGGGATCGGGTGATGGGCCGGCTTGCCACCACCACTACCATATGTAGGATACTGGGGAGGAGGATGATGATGATGAGGAGGAGGACCTCCTTTCTTCCTCCTTCTGCCTATGGTGGTGGTGGTGGGCAATTGGCCCGCCATCGGGGGAAGCAGGTGAGACACAGAGGGGGGAGGCGAACCAACACAGGAGGGCGAGGGGCGCCAAGGCCTCCTCCTCCTCCTCCTCCTCCTCCTCTTCCTCCTCCTCCTCGCCGAGGAGGACGAACAGGGGGGGGCGGAAGGCGCGACGGCGGACCTGCCCGCCGCGCGAGGGCTGCTCGCGGAGTGGCCGTTCGACGGAGGTGGGGGTCTCCATCTCCGTGGTCAACCTGTGGGTTGGCGTGGTGCAGCCGACCCGTGTCATGAGGATGCGCGGTACAGTCGGGGCGTTAACCTAAGGAACCCAAAATAAGGAACGAGGCTCCTATTTTCCATAAGTTGAACTCCGATTTCGTATCGAAAACCTAAGGAAAGCCTGAGGCAAGCTGCGAAACACTTTGAGGAACACGGAGCCCCTCTCCAACGAGAAGGGTTCCTTGTTCAGGGCCCCGGCTGTACAGTCAACCCGTATCAAGAGGATGCGCGGTAAGGATGCATGGGCCTCGGAAGGCCATCTCAGTGGCCAAGGATGGGCCGAAGGGGCAAGGATGCAGGGGCACCCTTGGGAAGGTCGGCCATCCTTACTCTGCGGGTTCACTGTGCTCTGGGAGCACAGCCTTGGATCCTCATTCCCTCAACCCCTGAATCGAACCAGTGCGGGTATAGTTTCCTGTGACAGCGGTCTGGGGGCCCGTCCCCTTTGTCAAACTCGGGAGGGGCATCCCCTGCTCGATCGTCACTCGCGCCACCAGCGTGGTCAACGCAAGCACCGACATGAACAAGCAAAGGAGCTTGGGGCAAATCGCCAGCGAAGTCTGCCTGAAGATCATCACGTGCATCATCAATCGCCTCGCTCTCCGTGGGCCAGTCGAAAGCAAGGTCGTACCGCGCATCGAAGCAGCGGTCGACGGGCCTAGGATCTTTCGACGACGCGTTTGGCCTGGCATCAGGTCGTACGGTGCGTCGAAGCAGCGATCGAAAAAAAAGGCCTGTTCAGGAGGATCCGCCGGGCGTGCATGTTTTTTCCACCATCCAGAACAATGGCGATGCAGGGCGCGTCCAACACGACCAGCAGCCACTCTAGACAGCAAGCCGCCACAGTCATCAGGATGCAGACCATGAAAACGATTATGCAGAAGGTCCACACGAACCGCTGCCGCCGCGTCGTCGAGCAGCTGGGCCTCGGACTAAAGCGATACGCACTCATCAGCATGCAGAGGAACGTGAGGATCACCACTGGGGCCACGCTGGGCGCCGCCGTGCAGCGGACCTCCATCGTCATGCAGAGGAACTCGTTGTAGCAGTTGCTCCCCATTATTTGAGGCAGGAGCGTGCTTTTTGGGCCTCAACTGGCACCATCACATGAGTGACCTCACGCGCCATCTGTGGGAGAATGTCGGGTGATAACTCCCGAACATTGCGCCTGGCCATGACCAGGAGGCGCACGTGCTCCGTGAACGGTGCGCGAAACAGGGCACGCAAGAAGACCGTGTTCCGCGCGCCCTGCTCGCCAGAGAAGCATCATCACCAAGATGTTGTTCGCTGAGATCGTACAGAGCTCGGCCGCCATCGGCGGCAGCAACATGCGGGACAAACCATCAGCGTCACCCGAGACGAGAGCACGAGGCCCCACGTCGCAGTCACCAGCATCGTGCAGAATATTGTCTCGGGAGCTGCTGAGCTCGGTTGGCGACACGGTTCAGGTATGAGGAGAAAGAGGAGGAGAAGCAAGAGGAGGAGGAGGAGGAGGTGTCGCCGGTGAAGACTCCGAGCGAAACAATCAGCAGCCGAGCATCTAAATGGGCAGCGGCAGCAGGTGGGAGAGGGGCCTGTAGATGTGGATGGGGAGTGTCGAGGGCGTCTCACGAGTCCCAGTTGCAGCGCACGGCATTCGCGAACATGGGCCATGGCCGACGATCGGCTGTGCTGCATCCGTCCAGGCTGATAGCCAGCGCCAGCAGTGAGAGCAGTTGCGCAGGAGGGTATATGGAACCGCCGGGCTCAATAGCGTGCGGCGCGGCGCTCGGCCAGGTGACCTTGGGCGAAACGGCGGTAGTGACCATGTCGGCCAAGTCCGAGAGCCTCGAGAAGGGGACGGGCTTGAGCCAAAATCCGCCGACCCTGTCGGCGTGTGGAAGACGCATCCCGGTGTCGTCGTCTTGCGTGGATCACCGTCGTCGTCGTCGTCGTCGTCGTCGTCTCCGTCGTGTCCTCGTCGTCTCCGTCTCCGTTGTCCCTCGTCGTCTTCGTCGTTCCCCGTCTCCTTGAGCGCGCGAGCCAAAGCGACATTGAGCAACGTCGTAGTTGAGTCGTGGCGAAGCCCCTCCCTACCCTCCCCGCCGGGGGGGGGGGGGGGAGGGGGGGGTCGCCGGGGGGGGTCGCCGGGGGGGGTCCGGGGGGGGTCGCCACCCAGATACGCATCCTCCCCGGGGGGTCCCGGAGCTCAGAAAAGCTTCAAGACGAGCCAAGAGCGACAGAAGACACCCCCAAAAGGGTACAAGAGGGCCTCGACTCGACGAACGATGGCCCCAAGACGCCCAAGACGGCCCGAAGACGGCCCAAGAGGCCCTCAAGACGCTCCAAGAGAGCCCCAAGAGCACACCCAAGAGGGCCCCAGGCGCCAAAATCGTCAATTTTACATAGGTTTTTGAATGATTTTGGCCTTCTCGCCTTTTCGGCTTTCCGACACTCCAAGACGGCCCAAGAGGCCCCCAAGAGGCCCCCAAGAGCGCCCCAAGAGGCCTACAAGAGGGCCCCAAGACGGCCCAAGAAGGCCCCAGGACAGCCTAAGAGGCGCCCAAGACGGCCCAATAGGGCCCCAAGACGGGCCCAAGAAACGGCCAAGAGGGGGACGAGGAACCGAGAATTCGAGACTTCCGCCCTAAGAGGCCCCCGGGAAGCCCCAAGAGGCCCCCAAAAGGCCCCAAGAGGCCCCCAAGCGGCGCCAAGACGCCCCCAAGATGCGCCGAAGACGGCCTCCGGAAGCCCCAAGAGGCCCAAAAGAGGCCCCAAGAGGCCCCACAAGGGCCCCCAAGAGGCTTCAAGTTGCCTTCCAGACGCCCCCGAGAGGTCAACCACGAGATCCCAACCAACATCCATAAGGCCTCCTCCTCCTCCCCCTTCACCCTTCCTCCTCCTACTCCCTTCCGCCTCCTCCTCCTCCTCCTCCTCCTCCTCCTGCCCCCCCCTCGTGTTGTCTTTCGTCATCTTCAGGGTCGGCGGCAACGGCCGTAAGGCCTTCGCAATACGTGAGCAAAACTGGTTTCGGATGATGGTGACGATGACGATGACGATGATGATGATGATGATGATGATAATGATGATGATGATGATGATGATGATGATGATGATGATGATTATGATGATGATGATGATGATGATGCTGATGCTGATGCTGATGCTGATGCTGATGCTGATTATGATGTTGTTGTTGATGATGATGATGATGATAATGATGATGATGATGATGATGATGATGATGATGATGAGGATGAGGATGATGGCAATGCTGATCATGTTGATGCTGCTGATGCTGCTGCTGATGATTATGATGATGCTGATGGTGTCGGCGATGATTAGCCTGGCCCTCACCCTCGCAGTGGGCCTCGGGCCTGGGACGAGAATCCCTAGGAGTACCAGTCTGTTGCGCGGATAACTACAGTGGAGGCCAGTCCACAAGAAACCTTCCACAAGAAACCCAACTCTGAGACCCCAGGAGGTCCATTGACTTTTGGTGCGGACAAGCCGCGCTTCCCATAGCAGAACCATCGAAATCCAAGAAACCCAGGGCACCCTGGAGGCAAGCAAGGTGTTTCTTGGCATGGGCCTCCACTGTACCCCTCCCGTCCCGTGACGCGCGAGGGTGGCGCCGCTGGAGGGGCGCCGCTGGAAGGGGCGGGGGGTGAGGGGGTCCGGCGCCGATCTAAGAGGCCTCCCCGGACGTCCGCAAACTCTTGCTCACGCCGCCATTTGAGCAACGAAAGGGAAGTAGGACGAAGCCAGTTCCTCCTCCTCCTCCTCCTCCTCCTCCTCTTCCTCCTCCTGCCTGTCTAACCTATGGATCAAGACGAAGCCAGGGCGAGGAGAAAATCTAGAGAGGATAGATGGATAATCTCTGAGATCCGGCGGATCTGGAGGGTGTCTCGGGCGCCGCGGCCGTCTCAGACGTTCGGGAACGCTCTGAGAGCGTTCTGATACGCTCTGGAAGGGACTTGTCCTCGTCCTAGCCCCGTCCGAGAAAGGGGTCCTACGCGAGTTGACATAGCGACCTTGCGCCGTGGCTTACGCGGGTCGCCAGCGCGACACAGTGCACTGGAAGCGAGGGTACTTCCGCGCGAACCTATGCGCGGGCAGCCGCTCGATTTGGTTTTCCCAGCCAGCTCCAACTCGTAACGGCCCTTGGTAGAAGAAGAGAAAAACCGGCATAAACACCAGCTTCTGGCGCTTCGCGCGGATTTCTTGGATCTGCGCAGGACCCCGCTCCCTGGCGCGCGGAGCGCGCCAGGGGCGGCGCCGGACGCGCCGCCGGGGCGGCCCAGCGCAGACCCGAGAAACCCGCGCGGATCGCCACGAGTTCACGCCTCTGGCGTGTTTTTTCTTCGACGTGGTGCTCCCAGGGGCCAGCGCAAGGCGCACGACGTCCAGCGAGGGCGGCCCCGGCAGGCGCTCCATCACCTCCGCGGCGCTCAGCCGCGAGCGCCGCCCGTCGGCCAGCAGGGCCTCCGCCGCGGCCTGCGCCGCGTCCACGTCGGCGGAGACGTCCTCGGCCGCGGGCGCCTCCCCGTCGGCCTCGCCGAGGCGCACCTCCTCCAGAAGGGGCCCCGAGGGACAAGCAACAAATGGAGACAAGATCCAGGATTCCTCCATCTCTTCTCAGATCTCATGGAGAAGAGCCTGTGTCTCCAGACCCCCCCCCCCGACGTCGTGATTTGTCCCCAGCGTCCACTCCCAGAGGTCTGGACCCCTTCCCTGGATTTTCGTTGACGGTCCCGAGGCCCGGGAAGCCGAAAATACGGAAAAACCTCCCGTCGTGATTTTTGCTTCGCAACGCGAGGGGGTCTGGGTCTCGGTGTCCCTCCCGGTCCTCGGTCCCAGCCCGAGCTCGGAGCTCCGACGACGCGTCTCTTTTGTCAGGCCTCGCGCCTGCGGCCCGACGTCGGCCTGCACGGTTTCCCCTGGGGCCGTAGGCGACCCGAGAAGGAGGAGGAGAAGGAGAGGAGGAGGGGGAGGAGGGGGACAAGGAGGAGATGGAGGAGGAGGAGGAGGAGGAGGAGGAGGAGGAGGGGGAGGAGGAGGAGGAGGAGGAGGAGGAGGAGGAGGAGGAGGAGGAGGAGGAGAGGGAGGAGGAGGAGGGAGGACGGGTCGCCTAAGCCCTTCGGAGAAACCGTCCACGTCGGCCTCCCCGTTGCTGGCCGTCGGGCCACCGGGGGCCGCCAGAGGTGGATCCGGGACGAGAGCCTGCGGTAGGAGCGCGACCACAAGAAACATTCCACAAGAAAGCCAGCCCATCCCTGGACGTCCACTGATTTTTAAGCGCAAGAAGCCCGGGGCACCCTGGAGGCAAGCGGAATGTTTCTTGGCATGGGTTTCCACTGCAGCCTAGGGGAGGCCTCCGCTAACCTCTGAGGGTCTTCAGACCCCCCCCCAAAGGGCGCAACTAAGGAGGGGGATAAAGGGGGGGAGGAGGAGGAGGAGGAGGAGGAGGAGGAGGAGGAGGGAGGAGGAGGAGGAGGAGGAGAGGGGAGGAGGAGGAGGAGGAGGAGGAGGAGGAGGAGGAGAGGAGGAGGAGGAGGAGGAGGAGGAGGAGGAGGAGGAGGAGGAGGAGGAGGAGGGGAGAGTCTTGAGTTTTGGGGCCAGTCCCATTCACCGCCGAGTGAAAAGGCAGAGGGGATCAGAACAAAAGACCCTTAGAGGGTGCCCCCGCGGGTCATGAAACAATCACGGCGGGACTTTGTCGCTATCCGCGGCCTCTGGGGGCCACCACTGCGCCTCGAGGCTGTCAAGAGTCGGCTCGGGGTGAGAATCGGCGGCGCGCGAGGGGGGGAAGTGAGAAGGAGAGGGCCCGCTCCGAAGGCGGCGGGACTTCTCAGGAGCCCTCGCGCCTTCTGAGAAGTGTTCTCTGTGTCTTCGGGGACGGCTCAGAACACTTCTCAGAAGGCCTTGGGGGGGCTTCCGAGCCCTCTGAGAAGGCCTTCTCGTTCGCACCTCCCTCGGCTACACGCAAGAGCGACCCTGGGTGAGAATGCACTTTAGTGCGCGACCTCCTGGGGAGCGCGGGAGGGCCAGACCCAAGCGCGCATGGCGCTAACTACCATCGCTTCGCGCTCGGCGATCGTGAGGCCCCGGTGTGCCCGCACCAAAGGTCACTCCGGCGAAGGTCACTCTGACGTGTAGTTACTCCCTTCCTGGACGGGTTCCCCCGGGGACGTAGGCGACCCGAGGAGGGGAGAACGAGGAGGAGGAGGAAGAGAAGGAGGAGGAGAAGGGAGAGGAGGAGGAGGAGAAGGAGGAGGAGGGAGGACGATGAGGAGGAGGAGGAGGAGGAGGAGGGGAGGAGGAGGAGGAGAGGAGGAGAGGAGGAGGAGGAGGAGAAGGAGGAGGAGGAGGAGGAGGAGGAGGAGGAGGAGGTGGTGGAGGAGGAAAAGGAGGGGAGGAGGATGAGGAGGGAGGAGGAGGAGGAGGGGAGGAGGAGGAGGAGGAGGAGGACGGGTCGCCTAAGCCCTTCGGAGGAACCTTCCACTTACGTGCAGTCGAGAGAAGGCCTTCGTCTTCGCCCTCCCCCCCGGGCTTGCAGCCGAGAGACCCCGCTCGCAGCCGAGAGGCCCCGGCCCCCGGGAAGGGGCCAACACCCCGCGGGAGCCGACGTCCTGGAGAGGTCACGCGCCGTCCGGGTGCCTGGGCCTCCGGCGCCTGGCCAGGGAGGTCACCGGCAGAGCGCCTGGAACCTTGGCAGGGGCACGGAAAGGCGGCTCCACCACGTGCCGTCGCTGGGGCGTCCATGCCACGTGTTTTTTGGCTGCTTCTGTGCGCGGTTTCTGTCGCTCGATGATCCAATATGCTCCTCGATTCGGAGGCTAGCGGGGGGGGGGGGGAGTGAGAAGGAAAACACCTTTCAGAAGGAAGCCCCCCGGCCTTCTGAGAAGTTTTCTGAGCCTTCCCCGAAGACGCAGAGAACACTTCTCAGAAGGCGCGAGGGCTTCTGAGAAGTCCCGCCGCTTTCTGAGCGGGCCCTCTCCTTCTCACTCCCCCCCCTCGCTCGCCGCCGATCGATCGTCCTCGCCGAGGAAGAACAAAACGCACACGCCCGAGGGATGTCGAGCTTTTTTTCGAGGAACGGAGAGGCGGCACCCCCACCTCTGGGGCGAGGAACCCTCTCGCTCGAGACATCCCCCAGCCCCTGCTCGGGGAGGCATCGTGGCCCTCCTCGCTGAAAGTGTCCCCCACCCCTTTGGTGCTTTGGTAGATGGATGAAGGAAAACGCCATGAACCTATTTTTGTTGGCGCTCTGCGCGGATTTCTGGCATCCGCGCTGGACCCCCCTCCCTCCCTGTCGCGCGGCGCCGGAGGCCCAGCCGGGGGGGCCCGGCGCGGATCCACGAACTCCGCACGGAGCGCCAAAAGTGTATGTGTATGCCCTTTTCTTTTTTCTTTTTTTGGTCACGTTTGACCGAACCAGTTTCGTAACGACTGCAACGGCAGCCGCTCTGAACAATGGCAGAGGGAGGACTCGCTAGCGACCACGGATGCCACCTGACGGCAGGGCACGGCAACCTTGGTCACACAGCAGCCCAACATGCCTTAGACGGATCCCGACTCGGCTTCGTGACGGCACGGAGCCACAGGCGCCAAATCCCCCTCGCTACGAAGCGGGGTGGACACAGTGCGTCCCCTCGAACGGGAAACAGACACAGCTGCCGAGGGTGAAGGAGCGGACTCCATCGCGATTGCAACGGGGTCCTCTTCCTCGAGCAGCGCACGGGAGGCATGTTCTTCAGCCTCCAACAAAACATCCAACAAGTCCGCTCCAGGCGCCGACGGCGGCGCGTCTGGAACGACATCATTGCCGTCCCTCCCCGCCGTGCCCACGCCCCCCCGCCCACCCGACTCCTTAGCAGCGATCCTGGCCCTCAGAGAGGCCAAGCACTCCAGAAAGGTCGAGCTCGAGGGAATAACCTGCACCCGCGAGGCATTAGAGAAGGCGTTTACTTGCGGCCCCGCAGCAGGTCGCTCTGGGGCCGCGCAAGAGACTGGAACGTTGCGCAGTGGGTGCAAGCCCCTCTTGAGTCTGCTCAGCACGTTGGCCCCTCCACTGTGCACCTTCGGGTTACATCTGACGGCCAGATTGCGCACTTTTTCTTGAGAGTAACTCCCACAAATCATACAAAAGACCAGGGGCAACTTTTCATCGCCCACCTGGGTGCTGGCGAGCTTGTGGCTGTGGTCAGGGGCCTCTGATAACAACCTCTGCAGGCTGTGAGAGAGAGCTTTACAGCCCACCTCGGGTCGACCCTGGGGGTCCCCTCCGAAAGAACTTAAACACTTGGAGCATCTGTGGCCCCACAGCCACTTCTCCCAGTCATGCCAGCTGGTGGCTTGCGCTAAAACCTTACGCTGGCGCTCGCGCCTCGGCGGGCGCTGGCGGTGCACCCTCGGGAAACGAAGCCAAACTTTCGCGACGATGCGAGCCGCCGTGTCGAGGCTCTCAATCGAGTCCTCTAGCTGCTGCCACTCGGCAGGAGACGGTCTGGGATGCAGGTCGAGGGCTCCTTTGGCCTCGCGATCCGCCCGCCAGTTGGCCTGGCCAATCCATCTCTCAGGCAAGGGCAGCTGCTCGATATCTTCTAGCTTCCTATGTGCAGGGGTGTGCACAGCTGGGGCATACTTATTTCTCTGCATGTGGAGAAGAGCCCCTCGCCTCAGACCCCCATATCGTTGCTTGGCCGAAACTTGGCTGGATGGGCTCATATTGTGCAGCTTCACCGCATTCATACAATCGCTATAAAGCGTCGGTCCATGCTGGGGAACATATACATGTAGAAAAGCCAGCTGTAACTGCTCAGCCGCTTGACTAGTCTGAGGTAAGCTGTGCCACACAACTCCCTTCGCCACGTACTGCTGCACCCCCTCATCATCGAGGAAAACCCACGCATACGCCGCACGCGAGAGCTCGCGAATGTTGTGTCTGGCACACGAGCCGCCCCAGCGTGGGAAAATCTAGACCCATCGAAATCCTCCCACGGAATCTTTTTCCCACTCATATCGAACAACTCAGGCTCGTGCACCTCCGAAAGAGCTGGCCATTCGGCCGCGGGGTGTTGGAGCTTGAGCACCTCGAAAAACTGCACGTCCCCGTTCTGGGCGCGCTCGAAGAAACTGTTGGGAACGTCCGCCGCCTGTCTCGCCTCGAGTGCATCGGGATGCTGGCAGCGGTAGAGCCGGTGCCCCACCGAGTCTGGCGCCTGGCAGAGCGGGCAGAGGCCTGGGGTGATGCACCCTGCCCGTTGGGCCCGATCCCCTGTCCAGAGGCCGTCACAAAAACGCGCCATCACCAGATACTTACCTTGGGTATTCAGGCCGATCCCTTTGGTCCCCGCCTCGGTGATTCTCTTGATGGGTTCCACGCGCACGCGGGCCCCAGGGGCCCACCCGAGTTTTTCCCCGGGGACCCGCTCGTGGTGCCTCTGGGTCCCCAAACTCAGCCAGTGACTAACCATGGACGGGGTGGTGTACAGCAAGGAAATCCCCACGCCACTATCATCGCGCCAGTCTAACGGGGAAAAAACTTCCCATCCGATACGCTTCAGAGA